GTTTCTATTTTGTTTTGTAAAACTATCTTTAATTCCTTAACTGCCTGAGCAGATAACATAGGTCACAAGTTATGCTTTTGATGAGTTGCAGGTGAAAGGCGAGGAGTTTTTGTCTGTCTCATGATGACTGATTTTCAGAGAAGTCCACAGCTCCTGTGTTTCAGCTGCGTGAACAGAACTGTAGCATATTTTGTGTTTTCCTCTTAAGAATGGGCTGACATCACAGGTTGGCAGCCTCAGCGTGAAAGAGAAAGAGCTACATGAAATAAAGCCAGCAGCACCCACAAAAACAAAAGGGCCCCAGAGAGAGGTGATGTAGCCCACAGAGGAGAACAGGGCAATCTAGGGCAGGCATTCTCCAAGGAACTAGAACCAGAAGCTGAGAAGAAGGGTCATCAGAGAACAAAAAATAATCCTGGGAGGTCAGCAAATATGACAGCTGAAATTAATGAAAATTAATAGAACAATTGGAAGTTAAAATCACAAATGTCTTTAGGTGACGGGCGAACTGTGGTTGTGATGGAAAGTGCGAGAGTGGGTAGTAGGCACGAGCAGAGCTTTGTGATTGTGTGCGGGGCACTGTGGTGGGCTCCGAGACTTGCCAGGTACTGGTCCTTCCAATGGGGGGCAGCCAGCGGGGTGCTGCCTGGTGCTGGGTCTCTCAGTGAATAGCCTTGCCCCAGGCACTTATAAGCTGTCGTCCTGCCTGTACTCAGTGATGCTTGCACATTCCAAGATGAGCTCAGTCCAAGAACTTTAGTAACCAAGACAGGGAGAATCTGCAAGAAGTAAGCAAGTGTCTTAAATTTATTTTTGCAGAGTGGAAAGGAAATGTTCTTTTCTTTTCTTTTGAGACACCATTTTGCTGCATAGTGTAGGCTGACCTTGAACTCACTGTAGTCCAGGTTGGTCTTGAACTCTAAGTGATCCTCCTGCCTCAGTCTCCTGAGTGCTAGCAGGAAATATTCTTGACCTGTTGATCAAAAGGGCCATCCACATGTTCAGAAAAATGAATAACGAGGTCCCCAGAAGGACAGGCAATTGAATATTCCCCACATCAGTGATGAGAACATAATTCCATAAGCTTCCAAAGACTTGGGATGAGGCAAAAGATGGAATTGGGGTCACAGTATCAGCAGACTTCTCAACAGCAAAGCTGGAGGCTGGAATGAAATGAACTCATAGCTCAAAAATGTGGAGCTAAAATCCTGTGCCGCTCAGTATAGCTGCTGCGAGGCTCTTAGAGGCATGGGATGCTAGGATAAAGGTGTGGAGGTGTGCACAAGGTCAGAGTATCTGTATTCTACCTTAGAAAACTTTTGGACCCTTGACTCCACTGGAGGAAGGGAGTAGGCTGCAGAGGAGGAACTCACTGGGGACGAAAACGAGCATGTTGTTGGAAAAGGGATACATGGGCTGATGCTCGGGGTGGCCCATGGAAGAGTGATGGTTGGCACTGTGTCAGCAACGTGGCTTGTAGACAGTGACTGGCTCCAGGCATCTGCATAATGAAAGAGAGGAGCAGTACAGTCAGGCCTTGCAGAAGCCTCTAAGGGATCGTGTTTTAGAGGAGTCAGGTATATCAAGAGCTTTCAGCAGTGACCTAATATACAGCACAGACAAGAAGGTCTTAAAGTGTCCACGCTGCTTGTGACAGATGTGCCCGATAGCAGCAGCTGTTGTTTCAGTCAGCACTGTGTTCACTTGTTCATAAACCAGAAGAGGGGCTGATAGCACATCGCCAGTCGAGAAAAACTCAACATGGGTGTAGGACCATCTCACTGCTAGGAAGCAAGGATGCCTAAGACCAACAGCTCAGGATAAAGCAAACAATTTTAAAGACAATCCCCTGGCCATTTTAGGACAATATAAGCACTAAGAAGAAAAAGCAAATGTCAGTTAACTATACTGTTTATACTCGAACTATACTGTTTATTAAAAGCCCTGAGTCCACTAATAAGCTCAGAAAAAGGAATTTTAAAAAGGCACAAAAAGGGCTGGCCAAATAGTTCAGTGGATTAAAGTGCCTACTTAGGCAGATGCAGCCCCCAGGGCTTGCTAAAACAGATTGAGACTGGGCGAAGTGGCGCATGCCTGTAATCCCAGCACTTGGGAGGCTATAAACAGGAGAATCTCTATGAGTCTCATCTATGTAGTGAGACCCTGTAGACCCTGTCCTAAATACAAAAACAAACAAAAAAACAAAAACACACACACAAAAGAACTCAGTGATGTGTGTATTTTGTTGAGGCTCCAAAACGTTAAACCAAAATACTTTTAGCCAAAACCCTTGGTTTTGGGGTTGAAACAGAGAAAAACCCAAGTGATACTTCACTTTAAGGAAAGACAGCAGGCTATAGGAAATTGAAATGTGGTACCTGTCCAAGGCGGGCCGGTTGAAGCCCAGCTCCCATCCCGGGTGTGCAGGCCTAGCTCTCCCCCAGGGCCTGCATCTGCCTAAGTAGGCACTTTAATCCGCTGAGCTATTTGGCCAGCCCTTTTTGTGCCTTTTTAAAATTCATTTTTCTGAGTGGTGCCGACTGCAGCTGGGAGGGACTCATGGACCCTCTCCAGGTGCTGCTCCTTGGTGCAGAGATCTGTGACGACAGAGACATATCTGCCCCACCATTTGTTGGTGACACCACACTGCAGGCAACCCTGCTCTCTTGCTTTGCAGAGCAAGGTTGGTCACTTAAGAGGAATTCAACTCCAGGATGCTGTTAGAAAGAAGGGAAAGAAGCAGCAGAGGTCTGAACTCAACAGGACAGGTTTATTGCAGAATAAACCCAAGAAGGATCTCTCTGGCACTGAGAGTAGACCAGCTGCCCTCGTAGGGGATGGGGTCTTCTGTAAGGTCTGGAGGAGTGGGGGCTCAGGGAGAGGGGCTTTTGGCTCCCTGCCCAGAGCAAGGCTTGAGCAAGTGCAGCAGCAGTGTCTGCCAGCAGCGGAGGCTTGGGGAAGTGCAGGGAGCCATGGCTCCTTTCCACAGCAGGGTGACCAGTTTGTGGGCCTTAGGAACCAGTGCTCCTGATGGCTGGTGTAGAGGGGTCTCTGAGGACAGCTGCCATAGTTAGATTCCTTTAGAAACCATTAAAGTAAGAGGAGTCATAAAGAGAATTTGCATGGGAATTTTACAAAAGTTTGCATCTGTGTCTGTCAAAGTTCCCTTTTGATCCCTTGTTCTCCATGTCTTTATTTTCTGTAGTCTGCGCAACCTGGGTTATAACACTTTACTTTTCAGCTGAAGTATTTTGTTCTAGAGATCCTATCTCTCTGAGTTGCTTTTCCTTTTGTATTTAGGACAGGGTCTACAGGGTCTCACTGCGTAGATTGGACTCCTAATGATCCTCCTTTTTACAGCCTCCCAAGTGCTAGGATTATAGGTATGCGCCCCCACACCCAGTCTCAGTTGCTGTCTCAGCATGCCATGGGGGGTGGGGCCGGTATGACACGCCTGGGGATCGAACTCCCAGCCCCTGTGTCTGCCTAAGCAAGCGCTTTAATGCGCTGAGCTATTTGGCCGGCACTTCTTTTTCTTTTTATTTACTTTGATGCCTCTTTTTACAAGGCTGCATACGATTGTCTGAGGGGCTCCTTGAATGATCCAGGATGGTCCCTCCATCTCTAGATCCTTAATCACAACTGCAAAGTCTCTTTGATCACTTGAGGGAGCTTCTCCAGATTGCAGGGATTAGGACCTGGGCCTCAGCTGGCCACAGCTGCAAATGTCGAGGCATGCTCGGAGAAGAAAACGTTAACTTGTCCTCCTCTGCCCAGGTCCTTTGGAGGAGCCCTTCCCTTGCCTAGTGCTGTGAAGTGTCCACACTCGCACCCCCATTTCCTTCTTTTGTGGGTTCCCACCCATGGCTCTGTGTCACTGCCGATCCCTCAGGTGCTCACATTTGCAGCCACAGGAAGTTTGTAAGTAAGTGCTTGTGAGCAGCTGCAGAGCAGCTTGGCCTGCTGCCCTGCTTACCTGGTCCTCGCAGGCCTGCTGGCTGATGGAGCCCTCACCTGTCTCTCATCCTCTCACTTCTGGAAGAAGAGGCTCACAGCTTCCCCAGCAGTGTTGGGAAGGCAGGGATTGGCTCTGAGTTGGCCCTTCTGGAGGTGGCTGTGCTAAGAACATGTGGCTGAGTGCCCTTGTAGTGCAGAACAAGGGGGAGTAAGGGCTCCCTTGCAGGAAGCGTGCCCTTAGATCTGGGCTTTGCCACAGGAAGGCACTGGTTTCCAAGAGAAGTGAGGGTCACCTGGTGCTTTTTATGAGTTTTGTTGAGACTTCTGGTTTCCCTAGAATGGAGTCCTCTCTGTCCCATTATACAAACATGTAACTTTGTGAGTTACGTGTGAGTGTAACTCTGGGAGTGAAGTTATTATTGAATGTTTTTCAAATTATTAAACCACACGATAAGCTTTAACAACACAACCGAGAGTCCAGACTTGGAGCCAGAGGCCAACCAGCCTTCCTTCATCCCACCCACTGGAACTGACTTCAGTAACCGTTGCTTACTGGAAGTGTTGCATATGTGGGTCTTTTGGAAGCAGGATTGGTTTGTTTCTTCCTTCACAAGTAAATACATCTTTTTCTACATGGGCAGTTATCTAAAATTTTTCAAAATCCATGCCATGTTCTTTGCTGGGTGCTCTGCTACTAACTGCCATTATCACAGGAAAGGTCAGCATATTTGGGACCCTGACCTTTTTAAAAAGAGGAAAATATGTGAATATGTAATTAATTACCTTTGATATGAGATAATAACTATACCGGGTATTTGTCAAAAGAAGCTCTGCGTCGTCAAGTATTGTGAGGTGTGGCCCCAGGGGATTTTTTGCATTGAACATTAGAAAAAATAATTTGGGGGCCCTGAAAGAAACACTGAGTTTTGTGTGTTTCTGTTTGCTTACTGACACAAAGCATTGGTGGTAAGTACTAAAGAAGTGAAAAGGAAGATTGTGTGAGGCTGAACTGTACGATCCTGATTTTAAATTTATTGTTCCAGACGCACCATCATGGATTCTTTGGCGGAAGCAAATGGCACCTTTGCCATAAGCCTTTTGAAAATTCTGGGTGAAGACAGCTCGAAAAATGTGTTTCTTTCACCTGTGAGCATCTCCTCTGCCCTGGCCATGGTCTTCTTGGGCGCAAAGGCAACCACTGCAGGCCAGATGGCTCAGGTACCGCGTGTGCTTCTGTGTGTCAGTCACCACCACTGAGCTGGTCCTCCAGGGCTCGCCTCTCGGAGGGACTGCTTGGGACAGTAGCTGTACGGGCTGCATGGAGATGGGGGTGGGGGCACGCTCCACCCCTGCGGACCAAGTGTGCTGGTTCATTGGAGGTGACAGGTGGGTGTCTGATGCAGGGAGTGAGGAATTCAACACATGCCTCAGCTTGTTCATGGTGAAAAGTGATTTTTCAGGTTGATCCTGGGCTGTTATTTGAGTTCTGCTAACTGCCATGGGACAGGAAGACCCTGTCTACCCCTTTGTCTACCCTCCGACCCCTCATCGCCCCCAGCCTCATGGCTCTCACAGACCCTCACGCCTTAGCCCACGTGGGGGGTCAGGCTCCCTCGGGATTCTAGGACAGGATGCTCTTCAGATGCAGCTTCTTGACGCAATTCTTGGAGAGTGGAGATTTGTGAGCTACAGACACATCTGCCTGACCCACGATGGTGAGACAGGAGGGGTGCTTGTGGACACTCCTTCAGCAGTGGTGAGGGTGAGATGTGGTCGTCTCCAGGGCTGTGGAACACGTACCACAGGCTGGCTGGCTTAAACGGTATTTTCTCGTGGATCTGGAGGCTGGAAGTCCAGGGTCGAGGTATGAGCAGAGCTGGTTTTCCTGAGGCCTGTCCTTGGCCTGTAGGTGGCATCATTCCCTGTGTGCTCATCTGCTCTTCCCTTTGTGTTTGTCAGTTCCTAGGATCTTCTTAGGAGGACAGCAGTCCGATTGTATTTGTGCCCACCCCAGCGCCCCAATGTTAGCTTAATCATCCCTTTAAAGGCCATATTTCCAACTGTGGTCCTCTTCTGAGTACTGTGAGGATTTCAACACAGAGATTTTGAGGGGACACAGGCAGCCTATGGCAGGAGGTAGGGGAGGCACATTGCAGTCCCTGAGTTGTAGCGATTCCAGAGTCCGGGCAGGTGCTGTGCTCCTGTGCTGTGCTCTGAGAGCAGGGCTGTCCTTGGCTAACTTTTGCTTGTGCTTCCGGGCTGTGCCTCTGCCCCCTGTATTCCTAGCAACCCCTCCTTTTCTGTAAGAAGTGGCCCATGTTTGTTGCCTATCTCCTGCCCTGAGAGTTGGGGGCCTGGAGGCCTTCCTTACTTTGAACAGTCCCTCCCTTTTACTCCAAGCCCTCTTAATCCCATTAAAACTGCCGTGGGCATTCTATAAATCATCTTACAGTCTTCCACACTGGACAAAAGCCACGTGCAGACTTGCTGGAGATGGGGCTGTCTGTAGGTTGGAAGTCAGTGTGCTGGGGCAACGTCCTGAAGATGCTCGGAAGCCCCTTTGTCGAGTGGGCCTGGGAGGTGCTCCCTGTATCTTCCCTAGGGATCTTCACCTTGTTTCTGAGATCCAAGATTTGTCATTTTTATTTTTTTAAGGTCAAAGATTTGACCTTTGCTTTGAAGCCAGTCCTTACTTTTGTAATCACTCACCAGCTGAAGAGGCTCGAAATAAGTAAATATTTTTATTTTCTGCCGAGCAGGACCTAGGGTGGGAATAGTTGCTTTAAATTCTACTCCACAGTCAAACCATTTCTCCTTTAGCTTGTCTCTCTTCCTGTACTCTACCCAGGCAGCTAGAGACAGCCACATTTTAGTTGAGGAGGGAAAATGTCCTGTCTTCCCTGTCACCACAGATGATTGTTGTCACTTCTGCCAGTATACACCGTACCACAGGCCCTTTCTCCAGCCTGCATTAATAATTTTCTGCTGTCTCTCTTTTCTGCCAGCTACCTAGAAACCATGTTTGCATTAAAAAGAAAAAAAAAAAAAAAAAAAGGTTTTGGTGGTACTAGGGTATCAACATCAGAGCCTTTGCATTGAGCTATGTTCCCAGACCTTTTTATTTTTTATTTTGAGCCAGGGTCCCACTAACGCTCTAAAAGCTTAGGTTGAGCTCCAACTTTTGATCTTCCTTCCTCAGCCTCCCTGAATGTTGGGATTACAGGCATGCACCACTGTGCCTGGCTCCTTGTTTAGATTTTTTTTTTTTTTTATGGTAGAAAAATTCTGCATTGCTGCAAGTATCACCTCTTGCTGCAGAAAACCCTCCTGAACTTAATGGATGAAAATAACAATGCTGGATGATGTCCCAGCTGCATGGCCTGGTAGGCAGTGCTGCCCCCTCCCCACATGGAGCCAGCCCATGCAGCTGCTGTGGAGGGCAGTGGGGCTGGCAGGTCTAAGGCAGCCTCTGCCCAGTCTGGAGCCTTGGTGATGGCAGTGCGTGCCACTCCCTGGGTGGTGGCACCTCTTCTTCCTGGGCTCTCCATGTGGCCTCTATCAGTGTTAATAAGACTCCCTTCAATCATGGTGGCCAGTACAACAGTGCATGTGGTAGCTGCCAGGCCTTCTAGGACACAGGCCTGGAACAGTGGGACTTTGGCTGAATTCTGTTGGTCGGAGCCAGTGACATAGCCAGCGCTAACCTGAGGGCAGCAAAGGGGCTGCGTCTTCTAGTGTCTGAGAGCTGGGAGGTCTGGCTGGCAGCCATGTTCACAGCCAGAGTGTAGGTGGTAAAAAGCCTGGGCGTGGAGGGCTGCAGGGAGGGACACTTTTGTCTTTAACTCCATGGTTCTTTGAAGTACACAGCAGTGTCACTGGGACACAGTAGTAGATACCCACTATGTACAGGAAGTCAGCTTCATTTTGGCTCATGGTCCATCCATGGTAGGCTGGCTCCAAGGCAGAGGCAGGATGGGAAAAGGGGCCTGGCAGGAAGAGCTGCTCAGCCCTGCCAGCCAGAAAGCAGGGAAGAGGGGAAGGAGCTGGGGACAAGAACAGGCCCTTCTAGGCTACACCCCAGGGACCACCTCCAGCCAGGCCCTACCGCCAATCATGCCTTCAGCTGCTGTACACATACATAGAGGAGCCCCGTCAGCAATGATGCACTCTCCTGCTCACTGGAGACTTTCGGGGGACATTCTGGATCCAGCCAGAGCAAGCAGGGAGAATCTGCATGGGGTGCACCCCACTTCCTGTGGTTGGGTCCTGCTGATGCTGTGTTTTTACTCTTTCTAATTTCAGGCACTTTCTTTTAATAAATGTGGCGGTGATGGGAGTGATGTCCACCAGGGCTTCCAGTCGCTGCTTGATGACATCAACAGGACAGGCACGAACTACTTGCTGAGAACGGCCAACAGGCTCTTTGGGGAAAAGTCGTATGACTTTCTCTCAGTAAGTCGTGCTTGGAGTTTTTCGCAAGCGAGGTGGTCTGGAGGGAGGGGCTGTGTGATCCGGCAGGAAGAGCATGGGGCGTGAGCCTGCCCCGGTGTCCTCACTCTGGACTTCTCGTATTTGTTTACATGATTCCATGCTTTCCTCTTTACATTGAAAGAAATCAGAGAACTACTCGTCCTGTGTGAGTAAACGGCAAATAAGGCCAGCAGAGCAGGCGTCCTCGGCCACCGCACTGCATACCCCCACCCTTCCAGGATAGACTTTGGTAGATTCGGCTTGTGTTTTCCTACTCATGTAGAAATTTAGTTTTGGGGATTTTTCAAATGAAAAATTGTGATCTGGTATGATCATGATATACGATACTGATTTTAGGTCATTCCTCATAATTGTTTGTAAACAGTGTGTAAATCATAAGCCTTTTGAATTTTGGTTTTGGTGCAAAAAGTAAGCTGGTGATGACGATTTGTGCAGCCGTGCAATATGTTGCTGTCCCTCTCCCAGTCTTTTAAAGATTCCTGCTGTAAATTCTACCAAGCAGAGATGGAAGAGCTGGACTTCAGGCACGGGACAGAGGAGTCCAGGAGACACATAAACTCCTGGGTGGCCAAGAAGACGGAAGGTGAAAACGTGCTCGCTCTGTTTGCTTCTTGTTTTCAGCCCTGAGGAAGGAACCCTGTGGGGTGGGTGTGCGGAGGCCGCGGCGAGCCACACTCCTGGCTCTGTTGTATTTTTAATAGCCCTTTAATCAGGCTTATTGTCAATTCCTTCTCAAGAACACCACAGGTAAACAAGAATGACTTTTTAAAATTCTCTACATAATTTCAAACATTAAAGATCCACTTCTGAAATATCACCAAGCTCTGACATTTCTAGCTTGTCCCTGCTTAGCATATCTGTGAAATCTCCCAATATTTAGTGCATTCTTTCTTTTCATGAACAGTGTGAATGAAATGTACTACTGTAGTTTCGGGTGTATCCTGCTCCGACAGGAGTGCATGCTTTTCGGGTTCGCGCACAGCTGCAGGTTGACGGGCCACACCCTTGTTTACCCATGATCCTGTGCATTTACATTTGCAAAGAGCAGTCATTGAAAAGTTTTATTTATTTATTTTTTCAGTACTGTGCATTGAACCCAGGATGTTCACACTGAGCTACATCCCTGACCTGGTCTGTTCTTTCTTTTTCTGAGCTGGAAGCTTGCTGAGTTGCCCACGCTTTTAACTTGCAATGTCCCTGCCTCAGCCTTCCACAGTGGCGGGTTACAGGAGTATGCCACTGTGCGTGGCTGTTCTTTAAGCTGATACATAAAAGCGTGAAAACGGTACATATGGCTGGTGCGCCATCAAATGCTTTGATAGGTGTGTCTGTGTGTAATGCTCAACTTGGGTTGACCATGTGTTTCCTCAAGCTCTTTTTAAGCTTTTTATTCATGAGTACTCTTCTTTGTGGTCCTGGGAGTTAAACACAGGCCTTCACGCAGAGCTTCATTCCCAGCCATATTCAAAAATTTTTAATTTTGAGACAAGGTCTTACTAAGTTACTAAGTTGCCCAGACTAGACTCAGTCTTGGCAGGCCTCCTGCCTCAGCTTCCCAGAGTGTTTTCTTTTTAACAGTCTTCTAAGTTTTTTCTTTAGCCTATGAGCATTGACCATTTTTTTTGTCTCTTAATAATTTATGCTTACATTTGAACACCTCATTCATTTTATGTGTTGTACTCAAATGATGCTATTTCTCTTGCCAGAGCTTTTAAAGTTTTTAAAAATTTGTTTTGTGTTTGTGGTGCTGGGGATGATGCTTTGTTTTATAGACAGACATCTGTTATATTTGGGGGATCAGTGACATCTTTGACCCTTGCACTTGGCCACTCAAGGAGGTCCGATCTCTGTTATCCTTGCTCTGTGCCTCAGCCTTGGCTAACCTGTTCTTTAATTCTCCCTTTCAGATAAAATTAAGGAGGTCCTGTCTTCAGACGCATTGGCTCCAAGCACAGTTCTGGTTCTTGTGAATGCCATCTACTTCAAAGGAAACTGGGACAGGCAGTTTGACAAAGCCAAAACCCATGAGAGGCCATTTAAAATCAGCAAGGTAACATGTGTGATGAGGAGGAGCCTCCCAGGTGAGGTCCCGTGCTGGGGAACGCGTGGGAGGCCCGTGGCCTAGTCCGGTGGTGTGGGTCTCAGGCTTGCTTTGGGTTTTTTCTTGGCTTTTCAGAACCAACCCTCAGCACGGTGTGAGGACTTTGAGGACCTGGGGCCTACCCGTTTTTCTCCATTCCTCTCATGCCTATGTGCCTCATTTTTCCAGTTGTGTCCCCTTGGGAATCCCCTGGTTTCTACCCTCTCCTCCAAGTGGCCACCACATCCCTGCTGACTCATGATATTAGCGCAGTTGCATGACTTTTCTCTATCTCCTGAGGAGTCATGCGAAGGGCAAGGCCTGGCATATTGCTCAGCAAATCCTGAAATGATGACCATCATTCATTCTTATTTTGATAGTAGAAGTAATATAAATATAGATTTAAAAAAAAAAAGCAACAGGAGATTTACACAGGATACACTGTGAGTGTAACAACTGGCTTGGAATATGCTGTTGGCTAATAGTTCTGCATCTTTCTCTGGCTGAATCCAATTCATTCTTTTGATTTTGAAGGAAGGTCTTTCCCTACCGAGTATCTTGCACATCTAACCTGGTGCAGACAGGACAGAGTTGTCACATTGCATTCTGATCACTGATCATAAGTTAGCTCTTCCCGGCCTACGTGCATGTGGACCTTCACTTTCTCAAGAAATGTATTTAATTTGAGCTCTATTCTGAAACGTTTTATTTTCTCCTTTAAAATACTCCTTTCCTTAAAAGTCACCTTTGACAAGATACGTGTTAGGGCCTCACTCAGCCACAGGCAGCAGAGTGCCCAGATGAAGCAGAGTAGCTCACCGAGGCTCAGCACTCACGCCGGGAGCCTAGGGGGTGTGCGGGGCCCAGGGCCAGTGTGGCACTGGCTGTGCCCTTGCACGTGGTTGTCCCCTCCTGCTCTGCCATTCTCTGCTGTGACCTTCCCATGCCCACAAGGGGGCCTAGGGGTGTGCGGAGCCCAGGGCCAGTGTGGCACTGGCCGCGCCCTTGCACAGGGCTGTACCCTCCTGCGCCACCATTCTCCGCCGTGGCCTTCCCATGCCCACAAGGGAGCTCAGATGCTGCCTCTTCACTCAGGCAGAGGGAGGGATGGCCAGTGCGCACACCCCCTTCTCTGAGGATCTGCTGTCCTGTTCAGGGGAACCCTGGCTGGGTGCTGCATGGCCAGCGTTATCTCATGTGCTTCCTGCCAGGACAGCTGGTGGGGATTCTGTCGTGCTTCCTGTCTGAGGTGGAGAAAGTGGGTGGGGGGCTGGGGCTCTTGAGGGACATTGCCCCAAGTAGGGTCAGCACCCTGTGGTAGGGGGGCAACCCAGCACTGGAAGTTTTTTTTTTTTTTTTTTTTTGGTAAAGTTTTATTGGAAATCACTTCTGCTTATTTGTTTCTGCAAACACAGTGATGTGTCTACCAGAGAACTGGGGATTGCAAGGTGCCTTGCGCTGAGTCTGTCCCACGATATTCAGTAACTTCACAGTTGCTGAAGTGGCCAGGAACAGAGGAAGATTGTTGGACAGGACACGGGGGTCTTTCTCACTGGCTGCTATGGGTACATTGACCACAAATGTAGTTTCTTCTAGTAAGATGTGTTGGTTTTGCCTCATCCCTCAGTATTATGGCTAATTTGTGTACAGGCATTCACTGAATTGATCCCAAGTGAGGAATTGTATACAATATGTAGATTGCCACATTCAGAACAAAGACATGGTGAAAGGAAACTTGATGTCCTTTATTAGCGGTACTCTTACATGTAGTACTGTGATGTATAGCAGAACATAAAACCAGTGCTGTGCAGGACAATGAGCAAAAATTATAAACAAGGTGTACTGCAGCAAATTGAAAAAGACACCGAGGTGCTATAAACAAGGCATACAAAATTGTATCCCCCAAAAACCAGGTGGTAAGTCTGATCAGCAACCTTGGTCTAAATCTGAATAGTTATTAAACAGTAGGCCCTTAAACGAGGCATATCGGATTCACTTATTCAGCAGGTGTTGATTGAGTGCATGCTTGCTGTCAAGCGGTGACCTAGTCAATGACACTTGAATTTTCCTGGGACATACAGTGAGTGTAAACAAGAGTGGGAGTTACCAGGTGGCCGTAAGAGCTACACAGGCACATGCAGGGCTGCGCAGGAGGCTGTTTGTGGTGTCACTGCAGGTGTGAGCTATCAAGGTTGCCTTCACTGCCAGGTAAAGCTCAGCAAAGACCAGAATGACACAAAGGTGCTCTCTGCAGAGGGGATGAGCTTACGTGACAGAGATGGAGTGAACCTGGTTTGCCTCCAAATCACAAAGGGCGCTGTGACTAACAGAACAGTGAAAGAACAGCGGGAGGTCCCGACATCAGAGTGCATGAGAGGCCGAGCCCCTTGCAGCAATTCTAGCTTTTTTGAGAGAACTTCAGCTTTGTTTTGGGGGGCAGCATGGAAGGCGTCTGCCCAGAGCAATGTAGTCTGAAATCTCACTGGCACCCCCGTGGCTGAGAAGCGGCACGAGGCTATCATCTCGATACTCCAGGGAGAGGCTGCTGGGTGGAGGTGCGAGAACGAGTCACATCTGGGTTGTTTCCTAGATCCAGTGTGCTTTGCTCACGAGTTGGGCTTGGGTGTGGGAGAAGGGCACACATCAAGGGCACAAGTCAAGGGCATGCCGTGGTTTTTGGCAACTGGATAGTGACATCACCAGCAACTGAGGGACACAAGTATAGACAGAGCAGATCTAGAATGGTGTATAAGGAGTCCTGCGATTTGTATGACATTGCAGCTTTTATGTCCAAGTGCAGGATTCCAGCTGGCAGTGACATACATGAGTCTGGCAGGCAGGGGAGAGGTCCAGACTAGAAGCTAAAGTCGGGAATTGTGCTCAGAGCCAGGAGACTAGAGGAGGTCGCCCAGAGGAGAGAGGTGTCTGACCCCAAGCACTGTAGTAGTTGGAGGCTGCTGTACTGCAGTCACTAGAATAAATACTGAGGAAGTCAGCGTAGAAAGGGAAGTGCTTTACTTTGTCTTGGTTTCAGAGGTTCCATGATCAGACAGGCCCATTGCTTTTAGCTTTTTGTAGGTCGCTGCATAAGAATGGTGGGCCGATGTGGTGGAGCAAGATTGCTCTACTCATGGTGGGGAAGAGAAAGAGAGGAGGAGGAGGAGGCCACGGCTCCCTTTGAGTACACGCCCCAATGCCTTAAAGACCTCCTGCGAGGCCTCACCCTCCAACTCCTGATACAGCATCTTGTGCACCAAGCCTTTTGCACATGGGCCACTAGGGGGCGCTCAAGGTTTACTCCATGGTGGAGGGTTGGAGGGTGTGGATGGACCTCGTGGCATTTGGAAGACCTGTGAAGAAACTGCTCCTAGAGATTGAGGGTAGGCCTTTCTATCGAATTTGTCCACTGTGTCCGTTGGGTCTTGCTGGAGCTGAATGTTTATCCATTTCTTTTGCAGAATGAGGAGAAACCTGTGCAAATGATGTACAAGAAGGCTACTTTTCAAATGACCTATATAGGAGAGATCTTCACCAAGATTCTGGTACTTCCCTATGTCAACAGTGAGCTCAGCATGATCATCATGCTTCCGGATGAGCACGTCGACTTGAAAACGGTAACACGGAGGCCGCGTGGCGTCAGGGCATCTGCTCGCTGTTGTAGAGTGCTCCCTGTTCCCTGTAGCTATTTCTGTGGCTCTGGATTTGGAGCCCAGCGCCCTGTGCATCTAGCCAGGGCCAGAGCTCTGAGCCCCACCCGGCCCTGGCCTGCTGTCTTCTGGCCACAGCCAGCCTGCCCTGAACTGTGTGAGGCATCCCTGTCACCAAGTATGGCCTCCTGTGACACCACTGTCCCGATTCTGACCCTTCACCTCTCCTCCCCTAGGTGGAAAAGGAAATTACGTATGAGAAATTCGTGGAATGGACAAACCCAGACAAGATGGACAAAGAAGAGGTGGATGTTTACCTCCCTCGATTTAAACTGGAGGAAAATTACGACATGAAGAATGCCCTTTGCCGCATGGGCATGACCGATGTCTTCGAGGGAGCCAAGGCAGACTTATCTGGAATGTCCTCTAGTGGAGACCTGGTTCTGTCCAAGGTCATACACAAGTCCTTTGTGGAGGTCAATGAAGAGGGCACGGAGGCTGCGGCTGCCACCGCAGCCATTGCTATGCTTCGGTGTGTGCGCTTCACCCCCTCCTTCTGTGCTGACCACCCCTTCCTCTTCTTCATCCAGCACTGCAAGACCAGTACCATTCTGTTCTGCGGCCGGGTTTCCTGTCCGTGAGGACAGGCCCACTTCGAGCAGCCCTCTTGCACCTCCTTTCCCTGCAACCTGCCCTTCCTTTTCCTCCACCATGTGCCTGTGACCCAAGTGTCCTTATCCATGCAGCCAGACAGCTCAGAAATAAAGCCCACCGTGGGAACCTTATCCCAGTTCTGCATGCTCGTGTGTTTGTAGGGCAGGTAGTCTCCTGTTGTTCCCCTCTGCAATCTGTGGTTGCCTTGGCTACTGAGCTCACCCCTGCTGGGGCAGGGACAGACTCAGCATCCTGGGTGGAGCTCGGTTCCAGTCCTGTACACTCTGGAAAGGTGCGGCGGAGAGGCAGGGTGGGCGTAGGCTGCGACCACTGAAAGCCAGTCCCCTTCTCAGCTGCGTCTCGGCTCTCCTAGGGGTTTGTGGCTCATAGATCTGTTGAAGAACACATGACCCACTGGCTGCAAATGCCACATTGTCCTGGGGCTCAGAGTTGGCTCAGTCATCCATAGGAAGGGGTTTATGACAATGGCATGTTAGACCTCAGTGACTTTGTGTTTCATGGCAAGTGTTACATACAGAAAGATTGCTGAGATTTTTGCAGCCACTTGCGTCCCTTGCTGGAAACACAGTGGCAGCATCCAGCAGTAGGGGCTGGATGGATGGGCGGATTCACAGGCAGGGTCGTGCCCAGGGGCAGCCCCTTCCTGCTGTGGGCATTGGGCACAAGCCTAGGCCCCTCTGGCCTCACCGATGCCACTCACAAGTTCCTGCCACAGCTGGTCCTCTTTCCCCAGGGGGAGGTGACAGGAGGAACCAGGGAGCTTGGGAAAAATGGGAAGTAGGACCAAGATGAGGAAAGGAAGGGGACAAGCGCTTGCTGGTTTAGCCACTCATCCTAGGTCTGTTTCTATTGCTCTAGCAAACTCCTGAGGTTGGGTAATTTATATTAAACAAAAAGCTGGGTTGGCTACCATTCAGGAAGACCTGGTGCATGGTTCTGGCTCTGCTCAACTCTAGTGAGGGTCATGACGGGGACCTCACAAGAGTAGGACATGGGGGAGAGTGGGGAGTGACAGGTGCAGGTCCCAGACTCCCTGTAACAACCCATTCTTGTGGAAGCTAATCTGGGCTGGTGAGCCCTGCCTTAGCCCTTCTGCAAGGCGGAACTCAGCTCCTGGTGGCCTCCCTGTAGGACCCACCTCCTTTGGGTTCAGGGTCTCAACACCACCCCCCTGGGGACCAAGCTGCCCACAGTGGGAACAGAGCTCATCTGAGCCACAGCACCCTTCCCCCTCCTCCGGATTCTTTCTCTAAACACCAGTTGATGCTTCGGCTGTCAGGCATTGCTGTCTGACCTGAGTTGGGCAGGGAACCGTGGGTGGATAGGGAGCTGGCCTCTGCGGCTGATCATTGCTGGCTGCTGGCGTCTGGAGCTGTTCAGGGCTAACAGCTCCAGGTGTTTATTGCTCTCTTGGGTTGAGGTTTGGTAGTCATAGGACTACGAATGCAAGCCTTTAACAGGACCAGTGAGGGGAGAAGGTGTAGTACACCAGAGGGAGCCCCCCTCTAGACTGACTAGGTGGATCAGAGAAGTGTGAGAGGGGGTTTCTTATATAGTGGCAGCTGCAGGCCTGAGATTGGTGCAGGTGCAGACCTGTGATGAGTTCAGATTTAGACCTGCTGATCTGCCCATGAAGGCTGCTTGGCCAGCGGGGAGGGTCGAGCCACTGCTGTCAGGGGAGCGATTCAGGGGTGCGATTCAGGGGTGGGGCGGGGCAGCTCTAGCTCTTTGGGTGACAGCTGTGGCATCTCAGCAGAAGAGGGCAGGGCTGAGCCAGGGACTCTCCAGGAAGCCCCACTGTGTTCATGGCAGCTCACTGGGTTGGAGGAGGCTGCTGATGGCGACAGTGGGCCCAGGCCCATGCCTTTCTGATCACGGCTGTACCAGGTGCCTCCCTGCCCTTCAGAGTGGCAGCAGCAGGGTGCAGAGCAGGAGCAGGGGAGGGCATGCAGCCTGCAGCGGAGCTGCACCCTGGACCAGAGCATGCTCTGGGCGGCCTGTCCACCAGGAGGGCAGCAGCGCAGAGGAAGCAAGGAGAAGGGATGAAGCAGCCCTCAGCCGGCCGCTCCCCCTCCCCCTTCACAGAACTGGGCAGAGTCAGGGCTTCTCAGTGCCCAAACCTAGCCTCCTAATTTGGCCCTTAAGACTCCATCAGCCTGGGGTGTGCTCCTCGGGCTCCCTTAGGAGTGTCTGCCTCTAATCCCTGCCCTGCTGTCTGCGCACAGTGCTCCTGTGCCCTGTGGCCCAGGGCTCCCACTTCTCTGACCCAAGCCCACCTGACCTGGTGAAGGTGAGCCCTACAGAGGGAGGCACAGGCTGCAACTGTGACCTCTGCTTGGAGTCCCCCAGGCATGCGACTCGGCCTGAGAGGAAGGACCTTTTATCCACTGGCTCACCGAGGCCAAGGAGCAGAGCCCAGACCAGATTAGAACACTGCACGCTTATCTGAAAAAGCCAGAATTTGTATGTTTAGTGTGTGAGCCTTAACACTCACACTCACACACACAAAGACACCCAGTGTGCTGAACATGTCCCGCATTCAAAGCAGGACACCTGAAAATTAAAGGGGATAATGAAAATAAAGAAAATCACTTCCTTTTAAAGTTTGTTGTACATACAGCTGGTAATAATCGATTGCACACTTGAAAGTGGCTGAGGGAGTAGATTTTACACCCTCTTACCACACAGTAACTGCGAGGCAGTGTGTGTGTGGTAGAGCTTGGTTGATCCACTGCACGGTATAAACACACACCAGCAACCTTGTATTTTGTCCAACAAATACACACAATTTTGACTTGTCAGCTAAAACACGAGTTAGAAGAAAATCCTATTTGTGAGCCCCTGTCAGGATGCTGTTCATTAAAACAGGCTTCAGAAGTGCTCTTCTCCAAGTAGTCCTCCAAAACACGTTTTTCTCCAAGAGATCCAAGGTATCATGCCCATTGATTAAAACAACAAACTTGACAAAAACTAATGATTTTTAAACATTAGGAAGTAAGCAGGGGTTGTAGAGACAGCTCAGCTGTCTAAGTGCTTGCTTAGGTGAGTACGAAGGAACCTGGTTAAATCCCCGCACTTTATGCTGTGCCAGTCCTGCCCCAGGTGCACCGAGCTGGCCACCAAGGAGCAGTGTGGGGCCGGTGAGATAGCTCAGCAGCCTAAAAGCGCCTGCTTAGGCAAACTTAGGCAAGTGTGCAGGGATGGCGGTTCAATCCCAGGCACTACATGCTGCACCACCCCTGCCCCCAAGGTGGGTTGAGCCAACCACAAAAAAAAAAAAAAAAA